ATACTCGTATTTGTGAGTATGTATAGCCCTTAGTAAGAGGCATATACATACCTGAATATTTTGGAACCGTTTGAAGGCTTACTGTTGTCATAAAGTACAAACGAAATTTGCTGCTGTTCCCCAAATTGGGTCAAATTTGAGGCCGTAGGTCTTCCCGTAGCAACCCAAACGCCGTCTGCGAGTAAACTTATATTGGCAGGTTACGAATGGCTAGTGAACAAAGAGCTTATCCGCTACAATTTCATAGAAGAATCCATATCTTCTAGGTGTGATAAATTTTCATTTTTGTTATCATAAGATTTTCACTCAACGTGACAGCGCTCTGTGCAGACTTAATTGATTTGAAAATCTAAACAAATAGAACTAAGTAAACTCTGTTCCAAGGCAGAAACTATTACCTAACATTCAAAATGACAGTCATAGATAACTGTAAATATCAACGTGAAGGACTGACGAAATTAAATACCAACTTCTCTGGAGACAGGACCCTTTGTTAAGTTAAGCTATTATAGAACACTCTTAACAAATCACCTTTGCATTAAAATTGTCATCATGAGCTACATCAGACAAACCGATAACTTGCTGTCCTGTTACATTTATTTACCCATATGCATAGATAGACCTTAACACGATTGGCCTAACGTAAGAAAACCTACTGTGAATAGAAGATAGAGTCTCTCTTATTTGTGCACGCTCCTATCACAGTAAACAAAACGATTTGGCCGCTTAGATAATAGAAACGACCCATTAAGCCGCTGTTGATAAATTTCGAGGTAGCCACCATATTGTTCCAGGTCGTCGTTCTACTCCACCGTATTGATCCTTGACAAATCTCGGCCAGTGTTTTACGAATCAGTCAATGCTGATTAGATATTCTGCGTATAGGCAATTAGGTTCGAACGGCTAAAGTACCGTTGACTAAATGTGCTTCAGACGATACACTAAGCGGTCGGAAGTCATGTTTTCTATTTGAGGCGAAATACTGATATAAAACAGCACCGAAATTAGAACAATTAGCTTTCTCGTTAGCGGTTAACAGACGTTTATCGAGCCAATAGCACGATAAAGTTTGATCAACTTTTGCTTAGTGATTCGTTGAGTAAAAACAAGGGGCATACAGCTGGAGGGGTGTATTAGAGATAACTATACGCTTGGGCAAAACAACAATAATTTGAGACTGATCTTGCCCCGCACAGACTGTCGCAGTTGTTATTGATTGCATTGGCATCGTTTGCTTAATACTTTGTTCGATTTGATGGGTCAACGACAGGACAGAGGAGGACGCATTTTGCCAGGTTTTTAAACACAGTTTTATGGCGTACTCACTCTAGAACGACAGTATCCTACGGTAGCTTTCCGAGCACTTCCAAGCTGCTTATAATGACTTTTAATGGACCGGACCTTCGGATACCCCACTTTTCCAAACATTATTACCTCGTTTCGCTTATGATTATACTATGTACAAAACACGAGCAGAAGGCTTCAAACACTTTTATTCTAAATCTAGATCATGCGGATTTTAACGTATAGTGACGCGTAGACGACCTAAAAGATTTGCAGTCATTAGGTAGTCTAGGTCCAACTTACGATTTGAACCCCTGCAACTTTCTGTATTAAATGCTATAGCACAACAGATTGACAACGTTGAGACATTAATGCTCATCGAAAAGTGAACTATGGCCATGTTTAGTAATGTATTTTACAAATAAAGTCAAGACTGATCAGTGCGTGCTGGCTTGCATGATGTACACTTCCCGTGATTCATTTCATGGATCGAGAGCATCGCTACGATACACCAAAGCAAAATAACACATATAGAATCAGCAAGAAAGTGAGTGTTTTCGTGACACCGCAAGGACTCAATGTTGTTAGCAAAATAGATCAAATAATAATATAAGGTAATTATTTTTACGTGCTGACGACGATCTTGCAGCGAATATTAGAGATATGTAGATTTCAGGCGCTCAAGTATGGCCGATTCTTTTAGCTGTACACGTCGGCTACGAATTATGCTCCGTAACACTATAACAAGTTGGCAGTCCTCTACGGACTAGTTTTTCGCGACCAAAAGCGAAACGCTTGACTCAAACTGGGGATTTAACCTCGAACTTAATTTCTTCAAATCTCCCAAAGATAAAGTAAATAAATATAGTGGCATAGTCTTTCGGGGAGAACCTGGCGAGTCCCTGAATTGACCTTAGCTTAGTACACCACTCTGCGATAACGTCATTTCGGTGTTCAATATTTAAGGACCGCTACGACGCTATGGTAACCCGTTTCGACAACCTCACGCACCGCTGGCTGGCCAGCTCGCTGGATCTCATAGTTCCTTAAGAATTACCTACTTAAAAAAGTAGCTCCTTCTTCAAGCATTGTCGAGGTTTTCCTTCTTCTCCTGTATGACTCCTGCATATCACTATCTGAATGTATGCATTCACAATGTGTTCAGTCATACGTCCCCAATATGACTTCAGCTAGCAACAACTATGCGTAAAGCTAGGCGATGCGTTGTTACGCCCGCTTGGCTCAATGGCTTGCTTGACAGACACTTAACAACATAGTTATTAGAAGTCACTGTTCCTTCATATCGTCTTTTCCGCCTCATTCCAGAGCTTATGGCTCTCTGCTCCGACAGGGCGATGCTGAAAGACCCGGAAAGTCATCTCATTCCAGTTTGAGCCAGTGGCTTATTGTTGATGACTGTTTTCGATGGCGTGTCGACTGCTTTAATATTGTACGAGCGCTGGCAGCACCACGAGCAGTTGTCATTCCATGTAGAAAGTGACCCTTTGTTGACGGCGCGAGTGTCTACTATCAATAATCTATTGATAGAAACATTACAACATTGTATTGTAGTGCTAAAACACTTGGTAATGTCGAAGATAATGCCGTAACCATTATGATCTCTCATGTTTGCTTTTTTTTTTTTGTTGGCGCTGCGACAGTTCAATGAAGCGACTTTTGACTTGACAATTATGAATAAATTGACATCTATATAATACTAGTTATCTAGTTATCCTGGACGTAAAGATGCGGACACAAGAAGGAAGTTCATGTACGCAATGGCTGAAAAGGGTTTTGCAATTAACGATAGATTGAACTGAAGCACAATATTGGTCGCACTGTTTAGGTACAGCTTATAGTTGCATACGACTGTACGCCTCCAGTATGCTTATTTCTATTTTTCACACTAAGACAATTAATCTTCTAAGGACGAAAGGCTATTAAATAAAGTTTATAACTTTCTCAAACAGAAGTAGCAATCACTTGCTGAAGAATCAATGGAGACGCCAGTGAAAACTATTTGGTAAGACTGAACACCCCAGCTTAAACGTATTTGGCAACTATTTGATTCACGTTGGAAAATTCTACACAGAAGGAGGCAAAAGTATTGATACAAATACTTTTGCCTCCTTTAATACAAGAATATACATGCCTTTTGAGACTGCTTATATTTGGATGCAACTCTGATTTCGTCATTAATTTCGAAAGAAAAATTAATTTTCTCAGCTTCTGATCGTCCTGTCCGTTATTGATCGGACACTCTCGTGCCAATCACGTTATTAACTTCATTTCTGACCGATATTTACTTCTTTTCCATCTTTCTCTGCTACCAATCATAATCTTGATAATGACGTTCTACAAATGTAATGCCACTAGCTTCAGTGGAGTAACTATACATGGTCTCTTTAGCTGGTGTTGGCTCTAAGAGCCACCGCCCGCGCCCACAGTGCGTCGTGTCCTAGTCTCAACGCTTGTTTCTACCCACCATCATCAGACCACCACCGCACTAGCAGAATAGTCAGTAATCCCAGGATACCAACCTTTGGCAGCTGCCCCCATCGGCGAGATAGCAGGCAAAACTATAGGGCTGGCTCGCCGATCAGTTCTAACGGTAGCATGACTACAGCACGAGCCGACTTCCAGCAGCTACTGCAGCTTCCGAGGCGTGTTAACATGCCATAGAGCAGCCCCAGTAAGAATGGTGGTGTTTATGATTAAGGCAGCAGCAGCAATAGCCGATTGTAGCCAAGGAAAACTGAAAAAGAATTTAGCCTCTGGCCGGTCCGTTGCTGCTATTGTAGCTAAGATGCGCGTGTCAGAAGAATCGAAAAAGGAAGCCAGGCCTTAGGCTAGTCAAGCGGACTGTAGGCCGGCAGCCTGCTTTCCTGATACTCGAGGTGATAGTCAGCTCATGGTAAATCAGCGCCAAGACACTCGTGGTAACGCTTCTGGTAGCCAATAATACGAATTGCCCCGCTGCTTATAGCTACTAGGACCATGAGCTAGAACCCTGAGAAGCTCTGGGTTATGGTAGTTTAAAGACCGGCGATGATCAGACGCTGTTTGCTGTTGTGTGCCGGCTCTGGGTTGTCCGTTGCTGCAGTTGGTTTGTCTCAGTTTCCCTCTTCTGCCTGCTTTTTCTACTCCGTGGGATGGCGGGTCTGCCCTGGTTAGGTCTAGCCTACCCTACCCTACGTTAGACTAACGTGTCATAACCGAACCGGCGGTGCCGTAGACTTCCTTATCGACGTGGACAGGCATGGTGCTTGGCCAGTCGATAGATAGACTGTAGCTTTGGGTTGCCTGACTGTTTCTTGCCGCCTCTGCTGGTAGTGCCGCTGCTGTCGCGCCAGTTACTGCTGCATAGCCGATACTCCGGTTGGTGTCTCCAGCGCCTTAAGCTGGAAACTCGTCATCTCCTCTCCCGGAGTTCGGACCGAGTGCGCCTGCGCGCGCTCGACAAGGGTATCTATAGGCTATCCGCTGGTCGACCATCGTCAGTTACTTGTAACCGTCGCTATCGGTTAGCAGTCGCTCGTGTCTCGATCTTCTGTATTCTTCGTGCTAGCGGAGCCCCAACACCCCAAGAGGAAAAATGGAGGCCATCAAGAAGAAGATGCAGGCGATGAAGCTGGAGAAGGACAATGCTGCCGATCGTGCTGATGTCGCCGAGCAGCAGTCCAAGGAAGCCGTACTTCGCGCTGAAAAGGTGCGTCTCGTGTTCGATCGATTAGTTAGTAGATCGATCAAAATATGGGACAAAATATCATTTGCGTCATAACCGACGTCTCTCAACAAACCAGAATACAATTGGATGATTACCATGTGCTTCGTCTACCACCACCTAGACACCATCAGTGTTCTGTGCCGTCCCGCCCTGGATATACGTTGTTCTTGTATGATGCTATGTTTGTTCGCTGTATATAATACAAGACTAATTTGAAAGGTTCACGTTCCGGAGATCTATACTTGGGGCGTAGATGCTCTTAGGCCAACGAGCTCCGTGTGCCATATGTCTCAAGCTCAAGGAGTAAAAGTTGTGGCGGGCCAGATCTCCCTCTATTTGGCTGAAGGATATGCCAGTGCAGGCTTGTTTCTACACTACCGTAGTGCTGTGTTGGGCTCCAAAAGCTTCACGATTAGGTGACAGGCTAATAATAAATAGTAAGGTCATTAATAAACCAATCTCAACGGGTAATAGCGACAGAACACACTTTCTTTTCCAAAAGTATCTTTCCCAAAAAAAAAGACTGCTTTATGGCACGCATGATACTGCTGGATCGGTTTCCTTTGTACATAAGTACCGCCCAACAAAACTTTGCCTTAATGGGTTAACCTTCGCTAAACGGGCTGTTGTTTCTTTTGGAAGCCCACGTTTCGAAAGCATGATCTTGAAGCTGTATAATAGACTCCAGCTCGCGCTTACTTCTGCTTTTAGCTTGCAAGCAGTACACAACGACACTCCGAAGATCTTACGCTGTCAACGTTTGCTTACCGTACCATAGACGTAGACTCCTCCCTCATCTGTTTTTATGATAATGCAACTTCGCTTATCACATTTGGCTCTACCTGTAATAAAAAAGTTTAGATGATCTTTCTTAACCTTTTTTATTGCTCAGTTAGTAAAAATGATATATATATATATATATATACATATATATATATACACATATATATATATATACGAAAGCTTTATAATCAATAGCAAAATCTTCTGCGAGCTGAGCCTAACCTTTGTAGAATGTTCAACACTGCCTACGCCGCGTATAGGCTTGGGCCTGGCAGTAAGCCAGCCTATGACGTCAGTATTGCCTTATTGGTCACCGAGGCAGCCACATACCACAGTTCAACCCAAGTTCGTAGCACCCATCCAAATTTGTAAAGCTCGATAGGCACCGTATTCTTATGATAACTGTACCCTGTGGGATGTAAGATTCAAGTTAGAAAACCAGTAAGTCTTTGAGCTGTTAAGGATTATCGCAGGATTACACACAGAAGCTGATTAATCTCTTTATATCATGGTTCTGGTTGTTATACTCAACTGAATTTTCCGATCTGATGACCATTCATTCAATTTTACAAACTTGTTATTTTACACATTCAATCAACTGTGGTCATTGAGGTTTAATTAAAATTTTAGAAAGTTTTATTAATGAAACAAAGCAAGAAAACACGATTGTTTACCCTTTCGGTCAGTATTTTATAAATTACTTTCTGTTATTTAGCGCGACAGTGCAATAGAAAAACAATTTAGCGAAAAAAATTAGTTCTCTTTGGTATCGTAATAAGCTCATAAAAATGACAAAACTATCTTTTCTTCTCTCACTACCCTTTGGACATCACCGATATTGTCCGGTCACTGCTGCAGGCCGAAGAGGAAGTGCGTGGCCTTCAGAAGAAGATCCAGCAGATCGAGAATGAGCTCGACCAGGTGCAGGAGTCGCTTGCGACCGCGAACAACTCGCTTGAAGAGAAGGACAAAGCTCTAGCTGCCGTAAGTATCAAAAAAACTTCCTACGTAAAATTCAAAACTAAACCACTATTGGCATCTAGAAATTCGCCCTTTAACCACTTCTTCGAAGCTCGTAAAGCGTAGCGACTCCTTCATTATTTCCTCGAAGGTTGCGATACGATATATTTTACGCCCATACAGAAAATCTGTAGTGGAACTAGCTTTATTTACCGGTGTCTCTGTTAGTTTTGGCAATCAACGTTATAATTGTGACGTATATATATATATAGCTTAGTAAACAATGCCCAACTCAGACGGTATGTTAAAATGGTCCTCGGTAGCTCATGCCATGCGGTAACGTTTCTCTTAATTAGTAGATACTGACAAGATATATAGAATGTCCACATATGTCAAAATATATAGGCAGGAGAACTTCGAACCTGTTCAGCTGGTCAGCTGTATTAATATTTAACTCAATACCTAAAAGAAAAAACAACGTATGCATATATCGAGATATTGATAATTACTGCGGTAGTGTAAGTGTTACCTGCGTAACGTCTCAAAACGACCATCCTTGACACGGTCTGGTAGGCATCTGATCGACAAACTTGGACGATACAGTAAGACACGTCTGTAGTACACAAACCAGTCGAAAACTAGGTATTTGCTACCCTTTCTAAGCATTAAATATTTAGGGTCTCCGCCTTTCTAACCACATTATTGGCATTGAGAATCCGTAACGATAGTTCGTGCTTGAAGGATTCTGCCGACTATCCACTGTTTGTTTAATGCTTGGGTTTTCGAACTGAAACACAGCTTTTCTACAGGTACCACACACGGTGTCAATAGCTCCATGATTGACGATGCAAGCATTTGTGGTTTGGCACAACTCGATGTCATATATATATATGCAACGTCAACGGGTATTCACAGAGACTGTCCCTTGTCATAGATTTGGCTACATATAGCACTAGGAATGATGCACACTGTTAAAACATAAAAAAAAAAACAATCCTTTGTTGATCTACTGGCGACCACAAGCTTGTTTTGGTCGGTGGTTAAAATCTGTACGACGCGTATGTCTGAGGCTGTACCATTATGTCAAATAATTTTAGATTTTGTTCCAATGTCACGGTGCTCCCTCACCGACGAAGCCTGATAGGTCACCAGAAAATGTAATATATAGAAAGACGCTTGCAGAGTGAGGTGGATAGCGCTTTACTGTATCATACGTATTATTCAACGGAGCAGAATTTTCCTACACGTAATCATTGCAATACATTGATCATTCGTTATTTATAATAGTTCGTGTGTCGATAGAATGTAAACAAACGTGTGTTGTGGAACCCTTTATCTCACGATATAGACTTGCAGTAGCAGCGCAAATTTACACGCCTCGAGTATAAATAGATCCTTGAATGTGGCCACTTAGTCACGATACTCGTATATGGATATGCCTATCACAACAATTTCCCTAACAAGTTCAGATGCCGACATTTGACTATGTTTCAATAAGTCAAAGCAAAACAATCTAGTTTGTGTTGGCAAGCACAGGCTTTCCAAGTTAAACCATTGAAACCAATTGTTTTATATATATATATATATATATATAGTCTATTCGTAAACATTCATTGAACAATGGGGCACTGAAACGTTTTTTGGATATCTATTTTAATCCATGTTCTGCGCATACTTGACTATTATATCATAGCTATACATAATAAGCCGAGTGAACTTTCTGAATGTCAGCCCGAACTGTATGAGTGATGCAGTATCATCGCTCTTTAACTTCGTTCCCTACGGAGACTCAATCACAGAGTGGCCGGAAAATTTATTCGTGATTATCAATAGTTATTCCCTTTTCTATCCATATAGTCACCATTATTCCAAACAACGTGTCCGTCGTTGTCGGGTGTATTGACTTTGCCAGCTTATGCGCGCTTACGTTCCAGTCACCTCCCACGTCGCTTGTTGAGAGCGGCGTCCCGGCGCGCCAACCGTGCGTCAATATGCAGCCGATCCGCCTGCCGGTGTGCAGCGAAACGGCTGCCGCTAGGTAATGTTTTGTCTGTCGGAACCTTGTCGGTATGCATTTCTTTGTGTGACTGTGTGTTTGCAATGAATAAAAAAGTTAACACGGCAGCGATCAGAGCTGTATGAGTACCATATGCCGCCGGCAGCAAGCTAGCCCGACGGCATACATAGCCAGCCACCTTCTCTGCTCTACAAACACGCCCCACGTCATTGGGTGTGTCGCCTGAATAGTTTACGCAGTCGTATAGAACACTTGGGGGTAGATGGTGGCAGAGGACAACTTCGAAAATCATTTTCTTACTCATAATCTTCACTTAGCAGCCCCCTGGATTTTTTAGCTACCTGGTGGCTTTCATCGCTGGTGCATTCTGCCCATTTGTGTAGCCCCGCGTCGTCTAAACGTCGTAGTTGTCCATGGATCTCGTTTGCTGTGCGTGCAACCCATATCGCTCCGCGTCCAGCCCGATACCGCCGACGTGCTACAACAGAGAAGACAAGGCGGTTATAGGATTGGATCAGCAGCGTGTGCTGGTGATTGGGATCCGCTGCGCCCGCTTCTCGTCTATTCCGCTACTGTTACTGTCGTTGCCGTTTCTGGCTAGCGTTGGTGCGCACTGTATTTGTGTGTCTGTCCGTCTGTTCGTACGAAAGAGTGAGGGAACTTCAGCCGCCATCCACCGTCGTTGTCGTCTACGGAGCGACGCAAGGAGCGGCAGTCAGTCTACACTTGTGTCGGTCGGCGGGGTGTTGTTTGTCCAGTAGCAAGGTTGAACTAATAAACCAGACTGCACTGAATTAGAGCTACATTGAATTGCTACCGTGCCCATTAATTCGATTTAGACAGAGGCGTTGGATTTTTCAACTGCACTTGTTTGCCACTCGCTGCCATTTTTGTTGGTCTAGACCAACGCGTGCTCTGTGGAATGAATTGCTAAATTGGAATCATTTCGATCGAGCGCTTCAAGTTAAACGTAGTCACGACATACCGCAAAACTAGATGAACCTTGCCTAGTAAAGTGTGTAATTCCCCAGGCGTGTGTGTTTAGCTCAGCATATAGTTGTGATCGATTTGCGCATCATTCTTCACTGTTGATCACTGAGCGCTTAAGTGGGTGAACGGTGGCAGTATCAAAAACAAAGCAACCAGAAAAACTTCAAGTTTAAAGTTCTTCGTCTGTTTTTTGTGAGATCTGTGTATATGTGGTTTTGATCTGTCGTGAAGAAAAGAAAGTGATACCGATATATAAGAAATCTTTGTAAGTGTCAATTTACCGTTAGCTTTGACAAGCATTGACAAAGGAATACTCCACCCATTTCGACGACGACAGCAACAGCAGCAGTTTCGATATTTAACAGACACCGACCAACGGCACTCAACGACATCGAAGAAGTATAATTAAAAAAAAAAAAGGGTCTGGAAAGGATCAGCGTCACATCATTGTTGTGCTCTAGTTGACAAACGTCTCCACCCACACAAAACACTCGAAACATGTCGAACCAGACGAGCGGGTCAACTTTGCTCGATACCCTCAAGAAGAAAATGAGGGCACTGAAGGATGAGGCCGAAGAGGCCAAAGAAAAATGCGACGAGCTGCAAAAGAAATGCGAGGCGGAACGACGCAGCAGAGAGGCTGTGAGTTCATTTATGATTATAGTTAGATAATAGAAAATAAACAGGCAACCTAAACGAACCGCTAGTTAATCCAAGGAAATATAAAACGAACAAAGATACACGCGCATTGTAATTCTAATTCAATGCTCATATCACGGGTAATTACTTAATTGAGCCGCCATTTTCAGTACGAACATTTTTAAAACACCCGTTGCTGAGGGGTATACGTTACATGAGGCAAGCATGATCATAGCATTTGTAGTTTGCACTGCTGAAAACGAACAAAATTATCTTATCTGCAAGGCAGGACCACTGATACTGTCACTGCTGCATCGACGGGTAAGCGGAGCCCGGCGAAATGGCCGATGGCTGACCTTCCAACGCTTAGCGTCGACGCCATCGAAAGTAGCGCTGCCTTCGGACCCGTTACAGCGAGTATAGCAATCCTGCTGCAATGGCGATGGGCTAGCTAAATCACCGATGCTGGTCGTAATTCCGTTGTCTATATGTAATAGCGTTCGGCTACTAAAAATAGGGTTATTTCAAATCAAGGCGACTTATAGCGGGAAAAAAACAAGACATTAAATGTACAGCTTTTTTCTTATCGTTTTGTTGCTCAGCCCTATTTGTCATCAATTTCATGACCGCTGTAAAATCTCTGAGACGCTATATAAGTATAGGTTAACAGTGAATTCGACATTAGACATTCTACCTATCACTACTCCGTTATCGTTTTTTCACGGTCACTGATATTTCTGGCTGACTATACGCTAGGGCTCGAGGTGAGCGGTATGAACACGCCCCGATTACACAAGGCCATTGTCTGCAAAAAGAAAAACGTCCCATTAAATGTGTAATGTTTTCGTGTTTATTTTATTATTAAGCCTTATTATCCTTGACCCTTTTGAAACTACAGCTGTTATAAGAGTTCGTTTACACAGGACCAAATTGTCCTCTCATGTCATATAGTTTTTGGCGGCTACGTGTAAATAGTACTATTCAAATTGTAGCTATTGGTTGTCTATTTGAACTTAACGTTCACTGTTGTGACGTATGTGGAACTCACTAATGATAAAATCATTAGCATTCATTCATCGGATATAACTTGATTATAAACCAGCGAAAGGTGTTTTACATACAACGTAGGCAAGGTTTTCCAGAATAAAACAGCCCGATTATTTAATATTAACAGCTGAAGAAGGAACGACAGAGGGGCAATTCTTCTTGCACTTCCAGCTGGCAATTGCCATATAGGTGTTTGCTTAATACAACGGCACCGTCCAGCCCTGTATGGTCCTCTGGTTTGTTTGTCCAGTCGGGCCTTCCGTCCTGCGCCATATCCCGTAGCCGCTTTCTAGGCAGTCCACCAGCTAGTTATTGACTTAACTTCTTTGCTATCCTGTGAGCATTGCTACGTTGAATCTGAAACATCGATTATTTTCGTTTTCTATAGTACAAAATCGACTGACGCCTCATTTACCGCTTTGCTTTTATCCAAATATAAAGATATTCTAATCAAGTGGCACGCACAGGGCTAACGTTGCAAAATGCAGGGGTTAGTAGGTGACACTCCTACAGTGTCAGACGAATATTGCAGAAGTCCATTTCGCATTTTTCATTTGCCCTCAGCTTCCTAAAAAAAATACACGAATGTATAAATAGTGAAGTTACTCTATGACGAGCAGCTTTCGTTCCCGTCTCGTTCGACTGACTGCTCGTTATCACTCTTGTTGTTTCTACTGGGAAACGTCTGTAGGTGCCATCTTACCACCTGACTGTCAAGGCCGTATCCGCTGTTGTTACCAGTAGCTAATAGCCACTGCTATCGATGCTTCTGCCACGACTCGATTCTGTTAAACTCTACCCCGCAGTGTCCTATTGTTTGGCGTCTGCTTTTAGTTTTACCATATTAAAATAATAAAACAACAGCAACAGTAACAACGCCTCAACGGCAATAAGAGTACTCATAACGCCCAACAGCATCAACCTGAAAAAAATCGCTAACGCCGGTGATCCAATGGGCGACTCCATTCCGCCTTGCCCTCAGACAGACGTCGAAGCGTTACTCCAGTTTTATTAATTACCTATAGAACTAATGAAGAAGAGTAACCGCTTTTTATTGTTGCCCGAACGCGGGCTCTAACGTCTGCCGCTGATGTTCGATTGTTGTTGACTGGCCGTTGCAGTAGCTACTTACAGTACTGCTTAGGGTGAGTACTAGTGCCTATACTTCATTGCGTTTTTCCTTCGTTCGGATGGATTTTTCACATGTGGTGATACTGACGAACTGCTCGGAAGAGGAACGGCGCGGACGTCTGCACCACTTCTAGCGTCACTTAGCCTCTACAGTATGGCACACATTATGTATATCCAACTATCGGCGATTTAACGCGCGGCCCACGCTTATGGCTGATGTCATGCACGCAGAATATAGGATCTGTCGTACCATTTCTGTGTAAATCTCTTGGTTGACTTTTCGAATAACGGGAAAGTGCGCGGGTTGCACGAAATCCTCTCGTTAACACCAGAATATCGCGTGTTTTTTTTACTCACTAGAGATTTTTCGTTGTACACTCGTTTACAGCAGCATGTCTATTCTGGCAGACTCTGCTTATTTCCATAGATTTTGTTTTTCTATCAGAAGCTGTTAACTTTGCCATAATCTCATTCGATTGACCGTTAGCAACCGGCCAGTCCTGTACCACTAGCTGCTTTCATTCATCAGTTCCGCTTCTTAGGCTCTATACCTAACAGCGTGATACATTAGAATCATGGCTATAATCTCTACATCGTATTCATTTATATGATACGAACCTACTACATCGACACGAAAGCATACGCGGTATCTAGTACTGTAGAGCATTGCTACGCGTCTCGGCTCTGTACGGCGCAAGACAAAATGACTGGTGCAGTCACCTTTCAAAGTCTAAAATGGTTGGATAGACCAGTCACTAGCGTTGAAGATATGGCACTCGCCTCTCAGGGAGAAGTGACACTGCAAGTGACTTCCTGCGTCGACCATCTGTGCATCCAGCCGGCTTCGTTACATTTCTATTCCGCTGTTACCATAAGACACGTATGTCTATATAAAACAATAATGAGTTGTCGAAAAATGCTGGCCGTTAAACGAGCGAACCAAGCAGGACCTCAGCCTGCTGCATACGGTACGGGTATTTGCTGCTGCATATACCCTGTATTAAATAATCTAACATGCATTATATATGTAATATAGTATTAAATATTATGCATCTTTCGAAATTCCTTCTACTAGGCAAGTTCTAGTGGAAGCCAGCAATTCAAAATGATTCCAGTGATGTCATTTTGAATCCTCGTGAGGCTAGTTCGTTGTGAACGTGCTCGGTTGTCTTACCTTGACGACTGTGCACTTCGCGGTATGCCTTTCTCTCAACAGTCGTCATCAACTGTTGAAGCTGGACGCCAGGAAGCCCATTTCGTGCAGCACGTTACCGCTACGTACCGGTCTGCCTCAAGGACCTCCGTTTGCCTTGTGTTTTCTCTTAATGGCATTGATGCTATTGTCAATCCACTTGACCGCGACGTTGGGCTCTTGATTCGACAATATTACTGTCGGGTTAAATAAACATATGAGAACAATGCGGAGTGGGCGTAAGCACCAGCGAGCGTGTGAGCAAGTGAAAGCATTAGTCGTTGGTCGGTCACTCTGTCTACGCAAATTTGTGCTCGAGTTCCACTAGCCTCTTACATTTGACTCACTGAGCGATTGCGTACGACTTTAACCGCAATTGTATCTAGCGATTGTAATGGACGCCAGATATACTGACCCAGATCGGCTCCTGTGGCCGTCGTAAACGTCGTGAGCAAACTACGTTGACAGGGGAAGTGAATGATGGGAGTTTCACTGATACTTGCAACAAATAAAATCATCAGTTTGCCTTCTAATGAAATCAATTAATTGAAAATTTATAAATAATTCTAAACTGAACAGTCTTCTGATTATGGAATCTCTACAGATTTCAACTAATTTCTTGGCCTATCATTCATGCGACTTCACACATACGTTGTGCAAGCCTGTACATTTTTAGCAGGTTTGCGTATCCTATCTACCAATACGATTCCTGTCATTTCGTAAGACCACACGCAGGCTAAGCCAGTCCCAAAAGATTTACAGCGCCCCATCATAGAGCCGAAGTTTGAATTCGATATGATCTTCTACCCTAGGCATTGCAACACTGTGCTATAATCGCAATCAACTTTTGTCCTCATGGACCAATACGTAGCGTCTCTCGTAGCTGTCGGATCTATCTGCTGTTTTCTCGGGCTCTCGATTTTTTCCTGTTTTGATGCTATTGGCGTGACTAGTAGTGGATAGCTGTTTCATAGCGAACAGGCTTGGTAGTTTCGAGTTCTTTAGATGATTGTCTTCACTGTCCATTATAATCATACGTATATTGGTATGTATCTGCTGTCGACCCTGTGGTGTCGTAGTTGGAATCGGTGTTTGTTATCGGTTGCTCTAAAAACAACAAACATAATTGGGCGTATGTTTCTTTAACGACAATAGCAGCTAACTCAGTGTCGTGTCACGGTCAGATGGGGCTTTTCGTTTTTCCCCTATGCCCTAGCAAAGAAAGTCAGAGAAAACAAATAGGGCCGAACAGTAGGAACGACAAAATACTTTTCCTAGTATTAATTGGAAGATAAAAAAGCACACCTTATCTCTAAAAGCCGAGTGTGAACATGTCGAATAATTGAAATTGTCTGAGGTGGCAAATTCACGTGGGTTGGCTCGACGACAATCGTTAAAATAGCAAAATTAGGGGCTGGTTAACTTTGTCGACTGGCTGTTATGCAGACTAAAGTAATGCGATTGAGGGGTTGTTCTCCATGCAGACGCGCCACAGATATATCCATCACGGACAAAAAAATATGGTTAATGAATGTAAAATTAGGGGACGATTCGGCAGTCTCGATCGCACACCTTTGCGGTTTCTTTATCGAGCTGACTGGTTCACCGTCGACGACAAACGGTCTTTGAGCAA